GTAAGTCTCCCGGAAAAGGGTTGAGTAAATACTGTACAAGAAGGAAGTGAGCCACACAATATGAGGAGGAAGAACATCCAGGCAGAGTTAGAACTTGAGGAGAGGCCTAGCATGTTTAAGGGACGGCCTTAAGTAATTGGATAGAAATGAGACAGGGGATTTTCCAGACAGATTATCTAGGGTTTTGTGGGTTATCACACGGACTTCGGCTTTTTTTCTAAGTGGAATGGTGAATCACTGGGGGCTTTGAGCAGCAGGATTACATGAGCTGACTCATGCTTTATAACTCAGACAGCTGAAGAGACACTGTCAACTGAAAAAAAGATACATTATCTAGGAGAGAGAATATGGCAGCTTTAACCAGGGTGATCACAGAGTAGATGGATTTATTTTGGAGATGAAGCCAATAAATATTCCTGATGATTGCATGTGGAAGAAAATAGAGAGAGATGAATCAAAAATAGGTCTTTGGCCTGAGCAATTCAAAAGAATGTCTGCTCTAAACTAGGATGGGAAGGCTTCAGATAGCCTGGAAGTTAAAGTATGGACATGTTGAGTTCAAATATTACTTGCTAAGTAAGTGTCTGGATTTACAAATCTGGAGTTTAAAAAAAGACCTGGGATGGATGTATAAGTTGGGGAATCAGTGACATTGATGTATTTAAGCCTTAAAATTGAATGAAATCTCCAAATAAATAAGGGTCATTAGAGATGAGGACCGAAGACTAAACCCTGGGGGTCATTCCAAGATTGTAATTTAGAAAGAAGAAGAGGGGCCAGGTGTGGTGGCTCATGCCTATAATCCCAGCTCTTTGAGAGGCCAAGGTGGGAAAATCACTTGAGGCCAGGAGTTTGAGGCCATCCTGAGAAACACAGCAAGATCCATCTCTATGAAAAAATAAGAAAATTACCTGGGCATGGTGGTACACACCTGTGGTCCAATCTACTCAGGAGGCTGAAGCTGGAGGATCATTTGAGCCCAGTAAGTGACGGCTGCAGGGAGCTGTGATTGCACGACTGCAATTCAGCCTGAAATTGACAGCAATATCCTGAAACTGACAGTAAGATCCTGTCTCAATAAAAAAAGAAAAATTAAAAACATTTTTTAAAAAAAGAAGAAAAGGAACAACCAACCAATGAGACCAAAAAGAAAAAGAAACTCAATAGAGTCTGCTCTCTTTGTAGTCACATAAAGAAAATGTGATAAGCAGGAGAAAAAGATTTGTGTCAAAAGTGGAAAAGTTATTTTTTCTTAAATGGGACATAAATAATCTATCAAACTGCAATTAGAGACCAGTTCCAAAGTGCTGCAGTTACAGGTGTGAGCCACCAAGATTTCTTTTAACTAAAAAAATTTTGGAAGTGAAACTCACAGAATAAAGGGTTGCGTCCTAGTAATTTCAGGGATTTTTTTTACCCATAGATAGTCCCTTCAGAGCTTCACTCTGAGAATAACTCAAAATCACTACACACTCTAATTCTTAGGAGGGAACGTTGGTCATATAGTGGGCCTGAGGTTGGAGTAAGAAGGGGCATCTCTTATGACCACATGAAGAGGAGAAGGAGTAATTTTCCACAGGAAGAGTTAGGCTTCCCAAAAAAGAGGAAAATAAAAGTGTTAGACAAACAGGTATTTCCCTTAAGAACCAGTGCCCAAGTCTTCCATGTCCAGTTTAAAGTTCCTGAGGCTTCATATCTGCTCCCAATAGGAAGTGGCCTTTTAAATACTTGCCAGGGAGACTGCTTTAATCTGAATCTTCAGAGAAGCAGAGTTCAAGATGCAATTAAAAGTACAAGGATTTTATTAGGAGAAAATGCCTGTGTGAGAAAAAATGCCTGTGAGGAGACAAGGACAGTCTGGAAGAGCTACCGGACTACAATACACATCTGACCATAGTGATGGGGGGAGAGAGCAGAGATCCTGAGCAGAAGCACCTGGGTGGCCATGCATTCTAGAGGAGGCTCAGGAAGACCATCAGGGAATCCTGCAGCCCACATTTCTCCCAGGAACAAGCCAGGAACCTGCCAATGAGTGGCAGGTCCACTCATTGGCTGGGAGCAGCCTTAGAGAGACATGGTACCAGTGCAAACAAAGAGATGAGTTTCAGAGGAAACGTGGGTAACTTTGGTCACTTACACTCTCTATAATTTGAGTTCTATGAGGAGCATTATTACAGCAACCACAGGTATCTTGGGATATTGATAGGTCTTCTGTCTTTAAAACTCTCAATGATTTATTAAGTAATTGGTCTACAGTGAGGTCCAAATATGTACCAATGTCAGATGCTGATGGGGCAAATTTGGATATACATTATTAGAACAGACTTGACTCTGAGGGTCTCTGCCTCATCAGCTTGCTCCAAGTTCTGATCTGAAGTTTCCAGACTGGACTTAAATCCTGAAACAACATAGCCACAAATTCAATAATCATAACAATCACCAAAAGTCAGGGTCTAAGAACAAACGTATGTCATTTAAGAGCACCATATTCTACTCCAGTTTCTCCAGTTCCTCTATTTGGTGACTAGAGCAAAGAAGCATCTGAAAACACAGACATGAAGTCCATATATTTTCACCCATAGAATTTTTGAGAAAATTAGACAAACTGAACTTGCTTGGGACATTCAACTCTCTAGGGGCATCTTCGTAATATAATAGTAGAACATTATTATTATATATAATATATACATATTAATATTACATACCCTTCTAAGCAGTTTATTTTTACTCATATAATTTTCACAATACTATGATGTATAACTATTATAATTTTCATGTATATATGTGGAAACTCAAGCACAAAGGGGTGAAGAAACTTGCCCAAGATTCCACAGGGGTAAGTGCTAGAGTCAGATTTGAACCCAGCTGCCCTGTCTTAAGAATCATGCTCTTGCCCACTCTGCTATATCTCTCCAACACTTCCTCTGGCAATGCTATTCTGTTAGTAATGTAGGATAACACGGTCTCAACGAAAACTGTGTAGATCATCAGCTCTGAGCATGTCATGGATTCCCTATCTTAGTCACAGAAAGAATAACATTAGGCTCACATTTTGTGGATTCAGCCAAGTACCATAATTTCAGCAATATGATCATGCTGGAAAACAGAGCTCTCAAACTGTGGGTTAATTCCCATGATTGGGTCATGACCAGTAATTGTGTGTGTGTGTGTGGTATGGAGTGTGTGTGTGTGTGGTATGGACTGTGTGTGTGTGTGTGTATGTGTGTGTGTGTGCTGGATTCAGAAATAATTTCTCAACTGAAGTTTACAGTTTAAAGAAAAACAAAACAAATGTTTAAAGCATTTGTTCAAGGAGCCACCAAATCCTTCCACTTTGAGGAGTTCACATGTTGGCCTATCTATGAGTCATTATGGTAACCATTGGCACTGGGCAATCAACACATTTGAAGCAGGGGAGCTGGGAGTTTCTTCTGAACCAGACAGATTACAGTCAGCCCTGAGGCTGCCATTTAGCCTGTCTAAGAGAAGGTAATGTGGTAGGATAATTAACCCTTGGGAAATCCCAAGAGGATTAACATCATTGGTTATTTAATTAGCCACCGTATTCTCCACCAAGACAACTGAAAGAGCATTCATCCTCACTAAACTACTTAACACTGGAAAAGGCAGCTGAAAGTACCAAGGTTTCAGCTAGTTCCCACTCTTTCATTTAATATTCCCTTTCTGCCTGCTTAGTGTGCTAGCCTGACATTTTTCTTTGTTCTTATGGGCATAAATCTAGCTTCCACCCACAGATCTCTTGCATGGCAAGAACGGTACAGACTCTAAACATTATTCTTCACCCACAGATGTCAAAAATGCATGAGCATGCAGTGCGTGCTGGAATGTGGGTGGTGAAGAAGGAATGAGCCAAGGCAGTCATAGAAATATCAGTTTCTTTGGTGCAATTATACATGGCCTCAATATGCCCAAGGAACCGTATCATAAGAGCTGCCTCTTAGTTCAGCCAAGCGGTCAGCTACATTTGACTCCACACCCCCTGTGGCCAGAGCTCCATGTGGGGTGGGGTGACAAGCATGACCCTCACACTCTAGGAACTTGCAATTCAGTGAAGCGACAAGGCAAACAGGCATAATTTAAATAGAGCACTTCATACTGCAAGGGAAAGAGAATGAAATTTCAAAAAATATTCTAAGTACAAATTATACTTCATCCCAAATTCACAAGAAAAAATGGTTTCAACTTATATAATACTTAATTATTTATATTCCTTTAAACTTATTGACAGCTATGGATTTTGAGTAGTCGATTTTTACATATAATTTTTGTTTCAGTCCTTCTGTTTGAAGATGGCAAATGCTAACTAAACAAACAAATAACAATAACAATAAATTTTTAATTTCTATTTGCCTTGGAAGGAAAGAACATGGACACTAGTGGAAAACCAGCCAAGCAGAAGTTACTGTAGAAAAGGCACATAATAAAACCAGCTGCTGAACTTTAGGGATGAAAATGAAGGAGTCTTCTTTGATTTTTCCTCAGTTCTTGTAGCCAAAGCCTCAACTGCAATTTTTATCTCTTCATTCACTGATAAATACTATAAAATCTGAAGTCCTATGCAGTTATGATCATTTTAACTATGTGTGATAGAAAAATGACACTATCACCCAAAGTTATAATAATAATATAAAATAATATCTGAAATTTGAAAAACGCTTTTACATAGATTCACATTCCACAAGGATCTTATACAGTAGGTTATATAGGCTGTAACCTATGCTAAAAGACTTGCTCAAGTTTTCTTGGCCAGTTCTGAAGATCTAAAACTGATAACTCAGGCTTTGTGAGTCTAAATTTAATCATCTTTCCAGGAGGAGTATATGAACTTATAGTTTATTGTTGTGATTGTATGTATCCTGTTATTCAACATTAATAGTTTTCACAGATCTCCAGAAAGGCAAACTGTTTGAATCTGCAAAAAAATCTCATATGAAGGCTTAATACCAGAGTCTGATTCTGGATTTGTAATTTTCCTGCAGGTAGCACTCTACAACCAGATGCGTCACCTTCTAAAACTGGTACATCACACTCGATGCCAGCTACAATTCCAGAAAGCACTTTACAGTCTCAAGGTATGATGTCTTTGTGCCTAGGTGGAAATCAGCTCTACTTGATCCTTTCTCACCAAGGAAACCCTACCAATCTTGACTCACAAAATAAAGCTCCTTCAAAATGAGACTGGATCTTTCGCACTTGCAGCGTCATACCTACAAATCATGGCTGCTTCCTTAAATGAGGGTGGAGGGAGGACTGCAGGGATTGGCACAAAAGTAACTGTTTTTTCTTTCTTAAAATAATAGGCACTGAGAATGGAAAAAATTCAAGTGCTTCAGCAGCCAGCCCGTCTTATTCCAGTGAGTAACAGCAATATCTTCATTCATGGCAGTAGATAGGCAGAATGTTTTAATGTGACTGGTAAAGGGAAGGAATTAGATTATGGGAAGCCTTTACTCAACTTTACTGAGCCTGCAATCCCACTGCAATCCTATCTAACTGCTGCCTGCTCTGAAAATTTCCCAGAAATGAGTCTGGTCTTAATGACCAAACAACAACACAAAAAAGATGGGTGGGGCGAAGCACACTTTGGCAAATTTTTTCTTAGCTTAGTATTTAGCAATTACCATCAAGGGCCAAGGATGATTTGATGGGACTATTACAGATAAGTCAAAGTGCATAGGTAGAGGTCCCCATAAAAGTGAATTATTCCCAAGTTATAAGGCTGTATACCTTGAATATATTTCATTTTTGTCAAGTAAATAATTAAAATTATAAAGTAAATTATACCAAAAAGTGAATTGTTTGCTTTCATAGAACTTTATCTTAACATTTAAAATAGCCTGTAGGAAATGTTCCATTTTAACTAAAACATATATAGGTCATATAACATTTATGTGTGTGCTAAGACTGAATACAGAATGTTAAATAATTTCCTTAGTAATTAAGAATAAAAAGAATAGATTCAAAACTATTAGTATAAAAGGCTCTCTTAAGTTTGGGTAAACCCATTCCATTAAATAAGTCATCATAGAAATTACTGACCTGCTGATTCACGGCATCTTCATTTTGGAAGGCAATATGATTTCACTTAAGAGCTATTAGGAAATTAGCAGAACTTACTTAAAACAAATATTTGTCTTTGTTTTGTAAATAGAAGTGTAAACCATCCTACAGATGAATTTAGAGAATAATTCTTACCCCTGATAAATATATAAGGAGTATGTATGCAAGCAAATATGTTAAACTAATATCATCTTAATGTCCTTTAGTTGTATGTCTACGACAGCTGTCTGGATTTTATCACTGTACTTTTAACCTTGGAAATGACCATCAGAAAAGAAGGAAAGAAGGAAGGAGGGAGGGAGAGAGGAAGGAAGGAAAGAGAGAGGGAGGGAGGAAGGGAGGAGGGAGGTAGGGGGGAAGGAAGGGAAGGAGGGAGGGAGAGAAGGAGAAAAGGAAGGAAGGAAGGAAGAAAGGAAGGAAGGAAGGAAGGGAGGGAGGGAGGGAGGGAGGAAGGAAATACTCTTCCTCTTAATACAAGCATAAAAAACTCACCCTAAGTTACTGCAGCAGCATCACTCCCCCAAACAGACACACATACACATATCTCTCTTGAATCATGTTTATTTTTAAGAATCATCTTCACTGTGATATCTACTTATTTTATGCCTTTTCTAGTTTTAAGATACTATTATAGAAAGAAATTTGTGTTTTAGAAAGCCAGCATTAGGACTAGAGCAATCCCAATTGGGTTATATATATTTTCCCAGTAACTTCATTATAAAGTACTAAAAAATGTAATGAGTGAATGTGGTTTTAATTATAATCTAGAGTACATCTTCTGCTTCTCCAGTCTTTCATCTCCCCACTTCTTCAGTCTCCAGGAAGATGGGGGCACTCTCTCTTAAGGTTGGAATTTTGTTTCAGAAGGGTAACAAGACTGACATCAAGTGGTTACGTCAAAAATGACAACTAGAGCAAAACCCTGAATCAGATAAATCTTTGCCTAAAATATAGTGTTTTTAATAGAATGATGTTTAAAGAAGAAAGGAAGCACTCATGCTTTTGCTCACTTACTGAACTATCTCTGTGAAATGCAGTAGCCACTCTAATTGACAATGTCTCCAATTCTTTTTAGGTATTATTTTGCCAGTGGTTATTGCTTTGATTGTAATAACACTTTCAGTATTTGTTTTGGTGGGTTTGTACCGAGTGTGCTGGAAGTCAGACCCAGGTAGGTAACAGTGTTTTGTTTTGTTTTCCTGAAAGAAGAAAGAATATATGCTTAGCTTAAACTTGATTTTAAATTCTTAAAGGGAGAGAAGAGTTATAGAGAGGAATGAAATGTCATTATTTCCTGATCACAGAAATGAAGGACGAAGAACACAGACACCCACTCAATGCTAGTGAATTGCAGAGTGGGGATTAACTACTATTCGTAGATATTATCAAATGTGGGCAAATTATTTTTAATAAAATAGCCCAAATTTTGTGGGTGGTCAGGGGAATATAGAGTAAAGAGGGCATAAAAATGACATACTTTGTCTATGGTAAAGATCAACTCCATTTCTATGTAACAGAGAATAAAGAGAGGGATTGCTAAGAATTCAGGACAGGGATCTATAATCTTAAAAGTTCTATGACTAATTTTCCTTCTTGGAGACACACCCAATGAAAAGTATCTTCCATGACTGTGTTATATTTTTTATTCTTTTTAAAAATATACTTTCTATTTTAGAATAGATTTAAAGTTACAGGAAAGTTCCAAAGACAGTACAGGCAGTCACCATGCCTAGTTTCCCTTATTCCTTTATTAGGATCTGATGCTATGTTTGTCACAATTAATGAACTAATACTGATAAATTATTGTTAGCTAAATTCTGATTTCTTTTAGTCTTTATTCAGACATTTTTCTGTTCCAGGAAGTTTGGCTTTTCTGTAGTCAACCTTCACCTAAATACCCCTTCAACTCCCATGGCTCAGCTGTCACATTACCTTAATTGCAAACTGTCTTTCTATTTCACAACCCTGCCCTGGTTCTATAATGTAATATCATTATCCATGCCCTCAACCATACTATTCCTTCTGAAATATCCAACATGCCTCTTACCTTTCATAACACACCTAATCTCCAACTTACCCATTAGGACTCAACTCAAACACAAATTTACTGTGTTTTATAACACGCCACTTCTTCAAGCAAAATGAATTGTCCCTTTAATTGTAATACTACAGATTTGGATTATGTTATTTATCATACCATAGTATAGTTACTTACTTCTCCATGTGCCTACCCTCCACTGAAAGTCAGGCCACCTCTCCAAGTCAAAGTCACACATTGTTTATGTTGCAGACCCTTACTATATGCATATTGAGTCACATTTTTAAATGTACAGTAAATAGAATTATCTTTTGTCACTTTAATTTTAAATATGTTCACTAAAAAAATCTCTACCTAAGTCTCGTAAACTGTTAAAAGGTAAAAAGCAATTATTTTTATATGTTGTATAGGCTGTATTATTCTTTGTTTACCTCATGGACAATGTGCTCCCAGGACACTAATGAATGCTATCCGTAAAGTCACCTACTGACCACACATTGCAGGGACAGTTGTAATATGATCGTGACAGTACTAGGAGAAGCTAGGAGACCAAAGCAGCAGAGCTCATTTTAGATCTTGATGAAAAGTAAAAACAAATCGATGCCTTTTCCTTTGGGAATCAGTGAATAAACTTCTTACTGTCTGAAATATGCCTCCTTGTTCAGTTTTCAGAAGGGAAACAGCATTTTTATAAATCAGTTTAATTTCTGTAAGTTTCTGAGCTTCCAATCCTGTCTTTTATGGAAATCAGCTAATCCAAATTGAAGCCTGTGGTGTTGCATGTATAGAATAGGTAAAAAAATTAATGTGCTAAATTTATTTGTAAAAATATGCTATACTAAAAATTTACTTTGTATAGGAAGATTTAAGAATACGTTATTTGAAAAGTTGACATTTTCTATTTAAGAGGCCTCTATGGATGTGTAAAATTCCTACCACTGTGGATAGTTATTCTGAAGACATGAGTATTTTAAAGTCAAGTTTGGCAATTGTACAATTAGTCAAATCTTTTTGGTGATTGTCAACTATGTTTCTCAGACAGAATTTATAGCACTGTTATCATTAAATTAGGACCATTAAATACCTGCAGTTAATCACTCTTCAAGCATGTGAGTGAGACTATCTAGCTCAGGAAATTAGTAAACCCATTCTGCTCTTTGGAAGACAACATGAATCAGAGATTTCAGTATGAAATTAAGCTTATTTGCACAAGATTGGCAGTGGAATGAGCTATAACCAAATAAGAATGGCCTATATGCAGAAAGTAGTCTGTTGGCTTGCATCTATCTGCTAATGAGACTATTGCTATGGTTTCTTAGGGAAAAAAGTATTAAAACAGCATATAAAAATGTGAATACATTTTGCTGGAGAGGATGTGAAGAAAAGGGAAATCTTGTACATAGTGGGTGGAAATGTAAATTAATACAACCACTATTGAGAGCAGCCTGGAGGTTCCCCAAAAAACTGAAAATAAAGCTACTATACGATCCAGCAATCCCACTGCTAGGTATACACGCCTAACAAAGGAAATCACTATATAGAAGAAATACCTGCATCCCAATGTTTGTTGCAGCACTGTTCACAATAGCCAAGATTTGAAAGCAACCTAAGTGTCCATCAACAGATTAATAGATAAAGAAAATGTGGTACTTACACACAGTGATGTACCATTCAACCATGAAAAATAATGAGATCCTGTCATTTGCAGCAACGTGGATGAAACTGGATGTCATTATGTTAAGTGAAATAAGTCAGGCAAAGAAAGTCAAACTCTGCATGTTCTTATTGCTGGAAGCTAAAAAATCAAAACAAGTGAATCCATAGAGCTAGAGTTAGACAGTAAGAGGATGACTACTGGAAGTTGGGAAGGGTAATGGAGGGGAAGTGGAGATGGTTAATGGGTACAAAAATATATAAAGTATGGATAAAACCTAGTATTTGATAGCACAACAGGGTGACTATAGTCGCTAATAAACTTATTGGTACATTTTGAAACAATGAATATAACTGGACTGTTTGTAACACAAAGGATGCTTCAGGGGACGGATACACCATTTCCATGATGTGATTATTACGTATTGCATGCCTGTATCAAAATCTCTCTTAAACCCCATAAATATCTACACCTACTATATAACCACAAAAATTATAATTTTTTAAAAAATCAACTCATTTTAAAACAGGGCTATTAGCATCACAGGTGATGTTGTATATGACACATAACAATCAAAAAATGCTATGATGGAGCAAAGATGAGGTTAGGTCTAATTGATGAGCAGCATATGGTGCCATGGGTTCAATCCTAGGGATCAAAGTTATGATGGGATATCTTAGCCAAGATGACAGAAATAGAAGCAGCCAAAATATTAGTGGAGGTTAAGGTCTTTATAAAACAAGGATAGCCAAAGCCAGGAGAATTATATTCAAAGGGTATATTCAATGACAAGATTTAGATTAGATATGAGAGGAAATCTAAGAAACAGAAGCTGAGTAGCAATGGAATAAAACCAGAGCAAAGGAGCACAGCAAAGGGGACCTTATGCAATCACATCAGACAGCTGGCCTGATTGGCCATAGATTAATGCAAGATTTGATCACCAACATCCACTCTAGAGAGGCCATGCCTTGTGCAGAATGAATCATACTGAGTTCCCTCTCTAAACCCCAGGTGTTTTCTATCAGACAGTTGTGAAACAGCCTGGCAAAGAGTAGAAAACATAAGTTGCAGTTAGTAGCCTCTGTGACATTTTGCAGGGCTCTTTTGAGAGGCTGAATCATTAGGTTTAAGATGCAATTAGAAATAGTATCGACATTGTAGCTCACCACGAACACAGTGATTTGTGTCCCCGGAAAGAACAATGTATAAAGGAAAGTCAAAAAATTCAATTCTCTGGTATAAAAACTTCAATACTTTTAATAGAATTGTTTCAGAGATACTGAAATAAACAGACATTTTCTGTTGTCCATGAGATTGTGCAATAATGAACAACAATTCCACATAGGGATATGAAACTACAAAATCAAGATTAGTCCAGAACTAAGTTTAGTGGAGTTGATCTAATTAGGATTATCCCATGAATGCCAGGATAAATGTTAACAATACCAGAGGAAATGGCTTGCCAGGGGGGAAATTTAAAGATTTTTAAATGGCTTAAAAACATCTCTGCATAGAAAAGAATGGGCAGCAGGTGAGGGAGTTGGGGGGCTCAGATTTTTGGTAGCCAACTTCTTTGCAACTCTAATACCAACTCCCTTTTCTCCTAGGCACAGCAGAAAATGGAAATGATCAGTAAGTAAGCCCATAGCGTCTTTTTCCCAGACCCTACCATTTACATAGTGAAAATTATTGTTACTCTACTCATACTTTTTTGGATTATTTTCTAAAGTCTAGAAGCACTACATATTGGCTTTGGCTATTTGTCAGAGCTGTCTACATTTAACAGAGAAATTCCAAATGTATGATCATGCTTAATCTTAATGTGGTAAATTGGGAGATAAAAATATGAAATGGAAAAGTAGAAGATGAATATAATTATGAGGGCAAATAGCATAGAAAAAATACCTAGAATTTTGAAATAGTTTTCTCAGTGAAATTTTTAATATGTTTATCACAGGGAAAATTGTGCCTCTGCCTTGAGCCGGTTCTCAGTGCCTTTAAAGTAGATGGTGATTCTACTTTGACTTAATTAATGAACAAAGCAGATTTTAGCAATCCAGGCAACTCTAACAACCAAGGTGCTGCAAAGAGTCATGATGAATTGTTTTTCATCTCAAAACAAATTCTGTTTTCCTTGTTGACGTGAATTTGTGGTCTACTTTTATATACGCATTTTTATGTTTCACAAGGTTGTAAACTTTAGAAATAATAATGCTATATTAAAACTTATATGACTTAATGTAGAGACTCCTAAGATATCCAAAGGAAGGAATTAGGGTTTGAAACTCTTTTGGGTAGGTGAGAACTCTTGATTAAAATAGGCAGTTCAGATACTGTACTACAGTATCTTAGGACTTCATGAAAAGAAATACCTCCAGATTTCAGTATAAGCCCAAAAGGTTTGGAAACATTTCTATGTCTTTCTCTCTATAATTCAGAATTGGAGACATGTCCAATATGGACCTTGTGACAAGTGTTTCACACAACTCATACTAATTTTTAATTTATCTGACAATCACCACTATAACAGAGTGGCAGGGATTTATTGGATTGATTCCAGAAAAAGTAAAAATTGCTAAAAAGTATATGTGTATTTGCATATAAAAACAAAGTTTTTCCATGGAAATATATATATATATGTGTGTTCATGTATATCTTCATCATTCTGTTTGTGTCACAGTACTTTCAATGTGTCACAATGTGTCACAGTACTTTCATTGTGTCACAGTACTTTCAAACATATAATGCTGATTACTGTGGTGCTAATTTAACATTTTCTGTTTCAAATAGACCTCAGTCCGATAAAGAGAGTGTGAAGCTTCTCACTGTTAAGACTATTTCTCATGAATCTGGTAAGTTTCCAGGCAGTTGATTATATGAAAATTTGTTATTTTAGAATCTAACTATAACCTTGGATTTTGTTCATGTGAAACATAACCAAAAAGCCTAACTTCTTTAGAAATAGTCAATTACTGTCAATAAATGTAAAATTCTCCTATGAAGGAAAGAAAAGTCTTACCATTTTGATAAGATTATTGGACTATGTGGCCTTTAGAGGTTGCTTTCCACAGATGTGTGGATGTATAGAGGGCTAGAGGCATTTCCTATTCTGCAGGAGTGGCAGAAAGAACACAAAATTTGTTTAAAAGCTTTTAAGTTACTGCTGTTGTTTTGTTTCTTTTTTGGTAATGGCTATGTAGTCACATATGGTCAAAAGGGCAAAAAATTTGGTCATCAGTTAAAATGTAAATCATGTTTTATATCATTTATATAAATATAATTGAGCTTCTCCATAAAGGTAAAATATAATATTCTATTGATATAATGTGATTTTTCCCCAGTTTCTTAGGTATATTCATTTGATTGGAATTATAAAAGTCTCTCAAAATATAGATAGGATTTGTGTCAAGAACAATGAAAAATGTGATGCCAGATAGCTTTCCAAAATTAAAAGGCACAGATTTTTCTTTGTTTTGAGTAGATTAGACAAACCATTTATATCAAAAAGCAAATCAATTAAAAGCAATTATTAATTTTATAAAATAATCTGGCTGGGCACAGTGATTCACACCTATAATCCCAGCACTTAGGGAGGCCAAGGCAGGCAATTGCCTGTGGTCAGGAGTTTGAGACCAGCCTGGCCAACATGTTGAAACCCTGTCTCTACTTAAAAATACAAAAAATTACCTAGGCATGGTGGCACATGCCTGTAACCTCAGCTGCACAGGAGGCTGAGGCTGGAGAAACCCTGGAACCTGGGAGGCGGAGGCTGCAGTGAGCTGAGATCATTCCACTGCACTCCAGCCTGGGTGACAGAGCAAGACTCAACCAAAAAAAAAATCTATGTGGCTCTAATTTAAATATCATGTTAGATTAATACATTTACAATATCCAAGTCCTCAATTGAATATTAGGGATAAGCTATATTATAAAATTTCTGGTGGCTAAAAATAATTTTATAAATCAGAAAGCTATAAATATTGTCTCAAATCAAGAGCCCGCTATCACAAGCTAAATGTGGTCTCAATTTCATGTAGAAATTTAAACTAGAACAAATTACAACAGGCTGACAGAAGAGTTGAAGAGCAAGAACATCTGAAGCCTGCATAAGAATGCTGAAACCCCTCACATGAGCTGTCTTCTTTTAGGAGAGATCTCCTTTGCTCTTGTATCTCTTCCACTCTTTAATATAAACCTTTCCTTTATTTCCATACTATCCTTTCTCTCAGGAGGAACTATCTGAAATGAGCAAAGGAGTAAAATTTACCCATAGAGTAGTTAGAAGATACACACAACTTTCTCCTATAAGAAACCAGTCTTAAACAATAGCCAGGCCTATTCTACCAGGTCAGGGAAAAGGGCAAAAACATTGGTCAAGCAGGCTAAATGTGAACCAGTCCTGAGTAAGCACATGAGAGACCCTAAGCATGACTACACCATTTATTAAGAAAAATCCTCAGAACCTGCCTATGGCTTGCAAAGCAGGCATCACACACACTCCAAACACTCTGCAGTCTCCTTGGCTCTCCAATTGGTGAGTTAGGGTGCTAAACACATCTGGAAGTGCTCTGTGTAGAAGCTCCTGGTTCTCCTTATGAGGTGGGCACTGGGATCAGAACCACCTGTAGTTTTCTACCACCCATTTCTGCCACAGAAACGGGAAAACTGACCCTAGAATCAAGACTTCCAGCAGGGGTAAAACCCCAGAGAACCTTGTGTTTCTTGGTTGCAAATTTAATAGCAACTCTTCTTTAGAGACTAGGGAAAAATTCCTTGTAGGCTGTCTCCCACTGTCATAGTGACCATAGCAGTAAGTGCAATAGACCATAGCAGGCTTGTTAAATAGACCCTTAGCCAATCTGGCTTCCTTTTCTTCAAAAATAACTTGTCAGGCCACAGGTCTAAGGGGGAGATATTATCATGAAAATAATAAGATATAATCTCGGGTACTTTTATTTCTGCTAACTTCGATTTAGAAATTATATTACTTTTAGCAAAATAACCTCTCAATGGTCAACCCAGATGATTACCATGAAAAATATTTGGTGATATGGAAACATTGAAATTGACGATTCAGAGTAGACTTCAGTAGTCCAGAAGTTATCACCTAAAATACAATGTCATCCAAATGCTCCTTGTACTACCACAGTTTTTATTAAAGTCTATCATTAACAGAACTTGGTGGCTTCCCAAACATTACCAAACAAATCTCTTCCCACTGCCTTTCAAGATTTATTCAGATATCTGTTTTTGTAATAACATGCCCATTATACTCAAGAGAAGTTACGTTGCTAACATTTATTTTTATGTAACTTCTCTTGCCAAATACTGACATGTTTCCTAAAGAAATAAGTAGAAATAAAAACTTAAATGATTAGATTTGATAGAAGTTCACAAGCTTAGCTCAATTTTTCTACTGTTGCCAATATAATAATTTTTAGAAATTTTAAAATACAAAAGATATCGATAGAACAAGTATCTGACCACTGACTACTCAGAATTGATGACTGTTACAATTTATTTGTTTCAAGACCTAAGAAATACAGTGTTCATTATGAACATAGATGGGTAACACAATGAAATTTGAGCTTCAGTGGTCACAAAAAAAATCTTTGAATCTGTCATTACTTCAGTGTAGAACCCCTGGATGTTTTACCATGGTAGAGACCAATAAACAGTGTTTCCTAGGAAACAGCCCTCTGCAGCATCCCACCTTCAGGGAAAATTCCGGTGGATGCTAAATCATCTGGTTTTCTAGAAGCCTCAATGAGCCACAGTTAAAATTCTGGTCATTTTCTCCTGGGAAGAGAGTTCTTTGACCCCAAATCCCTCTTTTCCAATTAGGTCATGGAATACATAGTGCAGTTGATGTTCATCCATCCACATTCCCTGCTTCCTTTAAATATGTGCTTTGTTGAACAAGGTCTTCTGTTGAAATTGTAACTCATACATGTTTAAATTTGGAACTCTCTTAAATGTAAAAGAGAAAGCTCACTAGGGTATTACAAGAAGATGCTTTCAGGAAAAAAAACGAGCATCAAATGTGGCAGATCAAGGAGTCCTTTATAAGAATATACAAGCTCCTCCTAGGCTTTAGTAAGTGATCTTGTCAGGCTAAACTTCAACATGATTGACTAAAAAAATGTATGTGTGGTATGCATTTTAAACGTGATTCTTATTTATATCATCTCAGAAAGTTAATATATATCATTTCACTTTTAATATGTCAGGTTATATAAATTTTGAAATTAGAAATATATTACTCCATGGAGGAAGAAAAAAACTGAATCACTAAAAGCTTCAAAGCATCAGTTGATTTTGAGTCATTTAGAGTAGGAAAAATCAGATCTGAATTCATTAGAATATTCCTCTGCTTAGAAGATGCTGATAAGTAATAACCTAAGATTAAGTTCAAACACCTTAGCATGTCTGCAACACCTACCATGATGTGCTAGCTTTCTCTAGCTCAGTTTTGAAAGCACTTGATATGCAGTAATAATGCATATTTCCCAGACTTCATTCATTCCCTTCCCTGTCTCCTGTCGCTCTCCCTGAACCCAGCATTCTCAAAGGAAGACACAGTCTTTTGCTCTACTTTGTCAAGTATAGTTCCCATTCTTATGATAATTACATATCAATATGTCATTAGCACACTAACTAATTAGTATGCTAATGTCAATTACTCATTAAGTGCATAGTCATCAATTTTGCTTATTTTTACAAATAAAAGTTCATTAACAACAAAAAACAACCAAAGTGTAAAAATGAACAAAACATTCACAGATTTATAAAGCCATATGTAGAGTCATCTTCTGTCCTCAGCCCTTCAATATTTGTCTCTTTCTCTGCATTTCCACCAAAGTTTCCTTGACTGTTTCAACTGTAAGTGGTCTTTCCCTCAGCTTAACATGTTGATAATTTGACAAATTAACAGATATTACTGCCTTTAATATTCTTCATGGCTGAAACTACCATTTTAATATTTGACCACATTATGCATAATAAAAAATAGAAAAAAAAAAGATAATAAAAAAGAATTTAAAACTACCCATGAAACAACCTTCATACAACCACTATTGGCATTTGATATATATTCTGGATTTTTTTTCCACTGGATATGTGTGTGTTTTGTTTGCCTTTACTCTAAATATCATTATTCTTGTTACTGATATCATTTCGTTATTAAATCTTTCTGAAAATTTCTAGTCTGTCAATTAGACAGACCTTGAGGAGGAATGGTAGGAATTATAAAGATTTTCAATGACTTGTTTTACATGACTTCTGGCAGATTCTAGGGGGAGAATCAATATTTATTTTATTTAATTCTCATTCTGATACTTCATAGCCATGAGTTCTAAGTAGGTGCTGTGTCTTCTGCAAAATGAACAATAGTTAGCAAAAGATTATCTTGGAACAGGGGCTGAGAGGACTGCAGCACTACACCCGACATTTCTCAGAGCGAACCGAAGGAGCTCTTGAAGAGTCCTGAATTGGTTCTTCTCAGGGGTCTGTGGCACTATTTATTACTGCCATGATGGTACCAGTAACAGGTGACATCCTCAGAGTCCCCAGAGGACAGATTTCATAACAACTGGCAGATAAAAGCTGGAGCAAAATGATGATTTATTCTAAAAGCTGGAGATTTTAATTTATATTTCTTTTATATTGTGAGACTGATGTTGATACTCGATTCTACCTGAAGGACACAAAGAATGCAAAATACATTGGCCACGAATCCAGTGGCAGGTAAAAAAATACTTGGGGGCCTCTCAGCTTGCCATCTTTTTAGATTAATATTTCTCTGTATATTGGATGGTAGAATAGCACTTGGATTTTGAGTAATGGCACCCATGCTGCTCTGTACCTCACCCAAGTGTTCATATTGGCCTATAAATTCATTTTCACAAAACCCTCACTGAATTATTTAAACAGAAGGATGCTAGAATGTCTTCCTGATAAAATGGCACTTTAAAAATATGATATGGACTTGCTTAGGCAGAGCCAGCTCATGTAACAAGCAAAAATCAATACTTATTCCCCAGGGTTTCTCTGATGGTATCATCTCCCAGCTTACATCTCTGGCCCCCCCTCTCCTCTGACCTGCCCCACCCAGGACTTCATATTGCTACTTTGGAGTGAAAACAGACGATGGCTAGAAAGATCTCTTATATTTTGGTGACTGATTTCCAGACAATACCAAGAGGCAAACTGTGGCTCTAATGATATTCTTGCAGGAGAATAAAACTTTCCTTGAAAAACGGAAAACAAGCTAGGAAACTTTATTTCCATCCTTACTCTGAGCTTATAGATCAAAACATATCTCCTGTTCTCAGGTGAGCACTCTGCACAAGGAAAAACCAAGAACTGACAGCTTGAGGAAACCTCCCCACACCTAGGCAATAATTACGTAAGTTTCCCAGTTTCATTTACAGAGACATTCATTAATATCTGTTTTATTACCCTGCTACAGCTTAGATTATTTTTAAAGAATTTCAAAAGCTAAAAAGTTAATGGTTTGTGTCAGTGCAACCATCATTGTCTATTTGTCTAAAAACAAACTCTATAAAAAAGATTGCCAAAAAATGAATGACTTGGTAGTTGTAGCCAGTTTGTCCAATTGTCTTGCCTGTTGAAGGAATGATAGATACACTTTGCTCTGCCTGCTGATAATGTTTCCTTATAAACTCAGTCAGCCTACCTAGGTCAATAAGCACACACTAACTGTGGAAATCAGACAGGCTTTTGTTGCTAACAAAGACTCACAGGTTCTAAGTGACAATGCTTGCAAATTTGCAGTTTATTGCAGGAAAATGATAAAATCTAGAAACTTCATTAAAGATGTGTATCACCACCATAGGCTGGCTCAGGGAAATGGGTTCAGAGTTGCTAGGTGAAGGGTCTAATTACCCTCTCTCTATAAGGACCTTACCAGGATTCATTTTCTCTCTGTGTCCAGAAACCATGGATGTGTGGAAAAAACACCTCCAACAAGATGACCTAGAATTCAGTCTCAGCCAGGTTACCTTTAACTCAGCTGGTGATGTAGACATATTCCTGCTATGTAACCAGCCAAGCGACAGAGCCTTCCAGATATCTTGACAAAATGATTAATACAAATGATTAATCTTACTACAATAATTGTGAATCAATAAAAATGGAAATTTCTCAAAAGTATATTCCATGTCATGACCAAGAGTCAGCTCAAGGCAGGTACATTTCTTATTTTAGTAAAACAGCTCAGGCCAATGTTAAACCTGCTTTGGAATTAACTGTCCCAGTTGGTATGGAATTGCCTTTTACTTTCCTAGAAGTGGGTAAGGAAATGTTCCTCTGACTTTCATTCAATTGTTACAAGAAGTATAGGTTAAGTGTTTCCACAATTAGTTTTTGATGTTTTATAGAACATGCAGAAGAATCTACCCTTTGGTAGGTAACAATAAAAAATAAAATAAAATAAATAAATACATGCGCAGAATTGGCCGGCCCACAATGGTAGTCATTCTAGGTAAAGTGTCTATCGTGAGAAATCTTGTATTCACGGCCTGTGCCTACTGTCTAACTACTAACATTGTGCTGTTACAGACGCTTAGCAATTTCTTGCTGAATAAATGGTACCTGCTGTGCTTGTCTGGCCAATAGCAGAAGACAGAGACAGAGGAGTGCCATTCAAACATGAGTCAGTATCAGAATTTTATCCCTCTCTAGCCAGCAATTAGGGATGGATTAGGAATCCTGGAGTTTGTGCACCTCCAGCATGCTGCAGTGCCCTATGGAAAAGAGGCAAGACTGCCTTCCCCTGTCAACAGAGTAAACAGATGACTTACAGAATTGGAGAAAATATTCACAAACTATGCATCTGACAAAGGTATAATACCCAGAATCTACAAGGAACTTAAACAAATCATTGAGCAAAAACCAAACAATCCCATTAAAAAATGGACAAAGGACATGAACACACACTTCTCAAAAGAAAACATACACAGGGCCAACAAGCATATGCAAAAATGTCCAATATCACTAATCATTTGGGAAATGCAAATCAAAACCACAGTGAGATGCCATATCATATCAGTCAGAATTCAATCAGTAAAGTGTCAAGAAGTCACAGATGCTGGCCAGGTTATAGAGAAAAGGGAATGCTCATACACTGCCGGTGGGAATGTAAATTAGTTCAATCACTATGGAAGCAGCCTGGAGATTTCTCAAAGAACTTAAAATAGAACTACCATTCAACCCAGCAGTCACATTACTAGATATAGGCCAAAGGAATACAAATTGTTATACTATAAAATCACATGCACATGTATGTTCATCACAGCACTATTCACAATAAGAAAGATGTGGAATGAACCTAGATGCCCAACAACCATGGACTAGATAAAGAAACTGTGATACACATACACCATGGAATACTATGCAGCCATATAAAAGAGCCAGATTATTTCCTTTGCAACAATATGGATGAACCTGGAGTCCATTATTCTAAGTGAAGTAACTGAAGAACAGAAAACCAAATACTGCATGTTCTCATTTATAAGTGAGTGTCAAGCACTGAATGCACACAGGCACAAAGAAGGGAACAGTAGACACCAGGGCCTACTTGAAGGGGGAGGGTGGGATGGGAGTGGGTATTGAAAAACTACCAATTTGGTGTTATTCTAATTACTTGGGCGACAGAATTGTCTGTACATCAAACCACTATGACATGTAATTACCCATGTAACCAATCTGCAGATGTACCCCTTCTAAAAAGGTTGAAAGAAAAAAAATGGAACCTGGAAGTTTGCAGATTCTATGCAATGGACACTTTCAGGTGCAAAGTTTGGGAAGCTGAGGGTGAGATACATTGTCCAGCCCTAGCTCATACATGAAAAGCTTCCTTCCATATCTGCTATAGTTGCTTTGCAACCCAGTGGCTAGTAAAGGGTTGTTTTCTAAATGACCAAAATGCTCAAATATTAGTAACTAATTGCCCAACTTGGAGAAAGCAAGTCTGCAGTTGGAAAAAAAAGAAAGAAAGAAAAGGTGCATAGAAGGCAAGAAACAGTGTCGACCTTCAAACCACTTAATAAAAGTAATTTTTGTTCAACTCCCATTCCTTTCCATTTTTGTACTTTAAAAAATATTCCTAGCCTCAGATTTCAAGGCTTTTGATTTGAAGAGCTAAATAAATTTTGTTGCTCCTCTTTGTAATTTTGGAATTATATAACAATGTTCTAAAGAGTAAAGATCAGAAAGTAATGGGAAGAAACAAGCTTGACATCTGTCAATTCTATTGTCTGTCTCACTTTTTTCTTTAACATATTTCTATCACTGTACTTTGAATTTAATAACCAATGAGTAACTACTGTCTAGGTTGTCAACTGGAAATTAGATATCAACTTGGGGATTCAGAATAAATAGAAATGAATTCATCAAACCTAGAAGATTTAGGGAAAGAAGTTAAAAAGTCTTGAACCCTGATGCAATAGCAAACAGTAATACAGAAATAATCACTTATGTTAAAAATTTCCATCTCAAAACAAGATTCTAGATATATGTAATGCTTATTGCTTCATGCATTGATCATCAATTTCCTCCACAGCATTATGTTTAATGTGATTCTGCAGGGTGGACAGGAATTGTGAAACATTTATGAGCTATGAACCTTGCCTTCTGCAAAGCTTTACCTCATGGGAGCATGAAATCATATATAAGAGTGGCAGCAAACACGTAGAAACAGCTTAAATGTTTAATGATATGGAAATTATAAAATAAATTATAGTCTGCCCAATGACATTATACGATGAGTACAAATAATTCTCCAAATAATTTTTAATAACATGAAAACATGTCTAAAATGTAATATTAAATGGGAAAATAAGAATTTTAGAATTTAACAGATAGCCATTTAACTGTTCTGTGACCAGCTCTGTGCCGTTGTCAAAGAGGAATCTGCTGCTACCTGCTTGCTCCCTCACCAGTAAGTCTCATCTTCTTTCTGTTCCAAAACACCTTGGAAGGCTGCAGAGTGGAGGGAGTTTCAGACAAGTGAAGAACTGTAGTGTTAGAAAGTCCTGTAGCTTTTATGACAATTTGTTCCCACAGAACCTCAGCAATGGTAATTGTTAGCCATTTCTGTTTTTCTCCAAGGTACAATTCCCTGATATTTCTGTAACTTTCTAAATGTACCCTGATAATCTAAGAGTATCTTTGTGAACTTCCAGAAGAGCTTAACATGTTTACCGGTTATTTTTCTTTCATTTTAAGAAATAGCACAAGCTAAAAGGAAAACATCATTAAAAAAGAGATTTACAGTTGTCTCTCTGTATCCATGGAGGAGGAAGATTGATTTAAAAGCCCTGGAGATACCAAAATCTATGGTTGCTCAAGTCCCTGATATAAATAAAGTTGTGCAGTATTTGCATATAACCTGCACAAATTCTCTCATGTAGTACTTTAAATAATCTCTAGATTACCTTTAATACCTAATACAATGTAAACGCTATATAACTAGTTGTTATACTATGTGTTTATTTGTATTTTAAAAAATGTATTGTTAATTTTTACTGGTTTTGAATATTTTTAATTCACAGTTGGTTGAATTAATTTGTGGACATAGAACCCACAGGTACAGAAGGCCAACTGTATATTATGATTGTACTCTGTAACGCTGAATGAATTTCTTAATAATGCTCTGCACGGGGTTCCACATCTATAAAATCAAGACAAAATGATCTTTTCTCTTAACGGCTATTCTGATTCTATGTTTACAAATTGTTGTCAGTAGTGTTGAAGAAACCTATTATGAACTTATGAACTATTACTATAAAATAGTCATTTATTCATTATAAAAATCAAAAATATATTACATTTTAGGTTGTGAGAGATTCAGTGACTGTTCAGTCCTTTATCATTATTATTGAAGCCAACACACTAATTTTAGAAGGATTATAATGCGGAAAAAAAGCAAAGACTGATACTGGAATAGATGTACAGAAATCACTAATGAAGTAAGGTTTATTTGTTGAGAAAGATAGTCAACATGAAGTGCAAGATTTATTTGTTGAGAAAGATAGTCAACATGAAGTGGATGCTGATGAAATTACAGTTTGTTATTTAGGTTGCTGATCTTTGAGAAAATAATCAAAACAATATCAATCATGAGCATTATCCTATCAGCACAAATTCCAATGTTTACCAGTGGAACTATGCTACAAACTCTCGACTTCACTTGAAACTCATCTATGGAGGAGTATGACTCAGTTGAACAAAAAGTGATTGAGACCTTAGTCCTCATCAAGTATTAGTTCAGGTATAAAGAGAGCTTGTCATAGTTGCAGTTCTCAAGGAGCTTATAGAAGTGGAAAGAAAAACACATAAGAAAAATAATTTTAGTATAAGATGATAAACAACATAGTGGTATGTAAAGACAAACATAATACCGTGAAGTTTAGTGACAAATTTCTTAGACATGGTATTTGAGCTGAGACTTACAGAATGAAAAAAAAAAAAAAAAAAAAGGTGGCCTAGGTGAAGAGAGGAAAGATTTTCCAGGCACAGGGAATAGCATGTACAAAGAAGAAAAGAATTGTGACAGTGCATAGTATATGAAAGAAATGATAAAGCTTTAAAAATTGTTACAGTAATCTGATACTGCTGCAACATTCAATCTATATTATAGTATTTTTAAATGTCTGTTTATTGCTGATTAAATGTTGTTAGAAACCAACATTGTCCTTCACTATAGATAGTTTGAGAAGCGCTGGCCTAGAGAATCTAATTCAATAGCAGCCTGGCCGGGAAACAAGGCTCAAGTAGCAGAGAGTACTAGATCATAAGGAAGCCTTGTTTCCCAAGGGAAACCATGAAGGACTTCACGAGGCTGGAATGAAGCACTAACTTTCTTCATTCACTAATGACATCAAAAAGTCCTTTATCCACAAAGAAGGGAACAACAGACACTGGGGCCTTCTTGAGGTTAGAGGATGGGAGGAGGGCGAGGATCAAAAAACTAACTCTCAGGTACTACGCTTATTACATGGGTAACAAATAATCTGTACAACAAATCCCGTGACATGCAGTTTGCCTGTCTAACAAACCTATGCATATACCCCTGAACCTAAAATAAAAGTTAAGAAAGAAGAAAAAAAAATTTTTAAAGAAGTCATTCGTCACTTGAGAACTCCTCGCTTGGCCTTGGATATAAAATATGCCTAGAAAACGAGTTCAATAATTGAGGGAGATGCCTTGTCTGCAATCATCCTTCTAATCATGGTACTTATGCTACACCATGCTCCAGCATGTGCTCGACCACCAACCAACTACGAATGCTCTGGAAGTCACATATATCCCCTTCTCCAATCCTTTCCATATCTTAAGACTTGACATGGATACTTGTGGCTGCCACCCCAGGCCACGGCAGCCAATGTCCAAATTTCCCTCATGTAAAGCAACAGTTCAGTCATCCCTATCAAAGGACTTGCCTTCATCAACCAAACCAGGAAAGAGTTGGTTACAGGTCTCCGCCACTAGTACCACTCCCCACACCTTCCCCCACACACCATATCATGCACTTCCCAGACCCTAGCAAACTACCAGCACTGCCCTCAGCAACACAACACCCTCTAATCTTTTCCAGGTTAGGCTATAGCCCTTTTCCTACTTGGGACACAGAAGTCTCCATCTCTTGCTCTTTTTTAGACCAACACAAAGTTGTTTCTACATTGCAAAGAAAGCAGTAAAATAATAAACCAAAGGCCTGGCTATCTTTCCTGGGAAGAAGTGGCAAATTGCCTATTCATTCTTCGCCCTGATGAGTAGACAGCAGCAAAGCTTGAAAGTTGCCCATAAATTTCTTGATTACTCACATTGTCACCCCAAGCAACAGATCTTGAACTGTATCCCATTAGTGATGGGGTAAAGTTAAAGGCTTCAATTAGAAGATAAATATGAGATTTGTGCTTGATACACACCCGTGTGTGTTTAATGTGGAAGACTCATTCAAGAAGAGCAAGGCCAGAAGCAGAGAAGTCATAGGCTATTGCAGTATTCCACTGGAAAAAGACAAAGGCTTGAGCTAGGGAGTTACAGTAGGGAGGAAGATGAAGAGGCAGAATAGAGCAGAGAAAAATGTCTGGAGGGTAAAAATTTCATGATGTGGTAATTAACTAGATGTGCCCAATGGGGAATGAGGAAGAATAAAACCATAGACAATACCCACACTTCCAGCCTGGGTGCCTGAATGCATCATGGAGGAAATAGCAAAGATTGAGATTATGGAGTGAAGGGAATAGGTATGGGAAAGAAAACGGCGCTTTTTTTTTTCAGGTGTGTCAAGTTTGAAGTGCTTGAGAGACAGTCAAGTGATTCTACTAGGTGGAAAACATTGAGCTAGCGACAACCATTTCTTACTAAGAGATGGACTCCCCCAGCATCTCTATTTCTTCTTCCTTTTCTTGGAAGCTGAACTTTGTTGTTGTTTTTGTTACTCACAGGCTTAATCTTCAGCTTCTATGCTCCAAGGGCGAAAAAGGAGAAAGTCCCGCAGAATCAATCTTGACTTCCATACCTGCTGCTGGCCTGTACCAGTTGTCTATCCCAGTAAAGTGATGTCCAGCTCACTTGAAAGAATTTGATGGAATCAAAAGAAGCCCTGGGACTTTCCTGTCCTCTGACATTTAAAAATTACATTATTCCATTTATAGGAGCATTCCTAGGAAAAGGAATTTTAGGAGGGTAATTTGTGAGCAGTGAATTGACAGCCCAGGAGGCAGGCTCACTGAGAGGCATGCCTTTCCTTGAAGTTTAAAGTTTTCAGGGCCAAGAATTTTTATCCATGAAGACTTTTCTTGGTTTTCTTATATTAACTACTGTTTGTATTTATTGTTTACTGCTATGTTAATGCAGGGAACATTTGCATGTATATTATTAAATATTAGGTAGAAATCATACCATGCTATTTTGTACATATAAATATTTTATTCCTGTTTTTGTGTGTTATTTTAATAAATAATTACTGTACTCAATACACTAAAAATACCACAACATGACTGTGAAAATGGCAGTGGTATTGTCTTCCTGTAATTATGAATATTTTTGGATGGATTGTTAGAATATATGAACTCACTAATGAAACACATCTGTAATAAATGAGAAAGGGACATAGGATTCATGTATCAGAGTCTGTTAGGGGGATAGTGATTTACCAATTCTTTGGTCTTTCTATTTGTCATTCATACTATGAGATGAAGATGTAAGTATAAAGGCATTTATAACACTATACTGCATTAATTAAGATAATAAGATCATGATTTTTCATTAACTCATTTGATTGATATTATCTCCATGCATTTTTTATTTCTTTTAGTAATGTAATTACTTGTTCTAGCAATCATTGCTAAACCTCCAGTTTGTAGAAAACCAAGACTTTATAAATACATAATCATGATATTATTTTTCAGTGTATCACTTCTCTAAAAATACCATATGATTATAGCTGCCACTCCATCAGGAGCAAATTCTTCTGTTAAAAGCTAACAGATCAAACATGACCACTTTTTGACACGTGAGATCAAAGTGTCAAGTTGGTTGAGATTTTTTGGAAAGCTTTGGAACTGATGAGCTGCTAGTGGCAGTTCTTTAACCTATGATTATCCAAGCTGATTTTGATGCTAAATTATCTTAGTGATCTGAGGGCAGTTTGGTGGAGATAGAATCTTGTATTTAAAATAGCTTTTTAAAACTTGTTTTGTGTAATATACTTGACAACTTCCATCTTTACGAGTTATATAATCATCTCGATTTTAGCTTCCTGATGTTTGGACTATTTCTAACCAAGGACACCAAGCAAGCATAAGCATATCTATATTTCTTACTGGTGTCTTTTTGAGATTGATGGGAAGTAGAAAAAAAAAAACAAGAAAGGAAGAGAGGAGAGAAAAAGGCAAGGATCTTCACTATGTATATTTTCACTTTGAGCTGTTGTGCCCATGCTTAATTCTAACCTAGAAGTCTTTAAGTGGTGAGCCAGTGACTGGAGCATGCCAATCAGAGAGTATTTGTTTTCAGAAAAAAAAATATCTAAGTTTGAGACCAGTGTGGCCAACATGTTGAAACCCCACCTCTATCAAAAATACAAAAATTTACCTGGTGTGGTGGCGCACACCTGTAGTCCCAGCTACTCGGGAGCCTGAGGGACATGAACTGCTTGAACCCAGGAATTGGAAGTTGCAGTGAGCTGAGATGGTACCACTGCACTCCAGCCTGGGTGACAGAGCAAGACTCAATCCCAAAAAAAAACAAAGATACTCCAAATGTCCAGCATCTTGCCCAGC